TGGGGCACATGGAATGGTCTGGAATGGTTTGATATTCCTTCCTCTCTGTATGGTACCATCAACAGAAGACTTCATATACTGCCACTGGTTTCTTTAATGGGATCTGTTGATTGGTGAAGACACTTATTACACTGTCTCTTCTCTCTTCATGTGTCTTCCTTCAACTTTCCGGGACTTCCTTCAAGACAAAGACCTTATCTTTAATTAAACTTCAGGGTTTGCTTGATTAAAGATAGCTTGTTGGTGTGTCTGCCATTTCTATAGATGGGTAGAGGATAAGGGGACAGAAATCGCAATTGGAATGAAAATATCTCACTCATTTTTTACCATTCATTTATTTTCAGCTATTATTTATGAACACTGGAACAATGAAGGTAATTTTGACACAATAAAAGAAAGAAGTGAGTTTCATTTCAGGAACATGGATGAAGGACAGAGATATAAAAATACATATAGGCACTAATCAAAGTAATTATTCACATGTTCTCAGAAAGGTCTCTTTTCCTCCTTCCATGTTCTATTCAAAGTCCCCAGAGCAAACCAAATGATCCAGAAGCACATTTTTTTTTCTAGTCAAAGTGATGTCTCTTAATTCCACCAATCTACAAGTCTCATTCAGTTTTAGTTTCCTTTAAAAGGTAAGGAGTAAAAATAGTGAGAAAGACATGGTCAAAGGTCATATAATAAAATAAACTAATTTTTGAGTTAGATATAATCTTTGGGAAAATATTAGCCTACTACTTTAAGCAAGATCATCCTATCTCAAGCACCCTTGTAACATCTGCTACTTGGTAAGGACGAGCAGAACAATGCCCTCCTTCCCGAGCCTTTTGTCATTCTGTTCGTTTGCTGAGTTTTTTTTTAAAAAGGTATTTTGACCCAAGTGGTTAAATAAAAGTCTTATTATGTGATAACAGACTTCTCTCACAAAAGATATATTCCTATTTAAATGAACTTTCCCCCCCGATTCCAATTGGGTCATTTTACTTTCTTCTAAAAGACAAACTTGCATGCTTTTCCTTATCACTTTGGGTAGTTACTGGGAATTTCACTGTGAATTAAGGCTATCAAGTTTGTTATTTAAGAAAGTGAGGTGACTGTTTCAGTGTGGAACTTCTAGTCTATCAACCTATAGCTCTGGGAAGCAGACTCATGGTACAGAATGTTATAGGTCAATAAATTACCTCTATTATAACATTTCCATCATTAAAAAATCCAATATGCCTTTTTCTTTATCTAATACATATTTCAGTACTTTACTACTCTGAAGATGAAAACAGCACAGAGAAGCTTTGCATGGAGAAGATTTACTGCTGCATCAACTGTGTTCCATAACGAATGACAGCATCTTCTCCTAATAGTGCATTTAGTGATTTCTTGTTATTAAGTATGAAAAAGGCATAAAAGCTGAAAATTTGGTAAATAACTGTAGCTTTAAATGTGACCTGTCTAAGTCATGAAAGAAAAACAAGTGGGCAGAGTGTAGAGAAAAATGGGGAAATAGATGCTATATCCATGTTTAGAGACAAATCTTTGAGCAGTCACATCATTTTAAGTTAAATAATGTCTGACTTAAGATGTGTACCAAAGTCCTGAAGATAATGTAATGAGTTAAAAATCAAACACATAACCCTAGTTGTATGATTAAAGTAGAACGGCATGGCATGCACTGTTCTGCTTAGAAGTCAATTTTGTAAATCAAACTGAGGGTCCTTTGTTTAAACATGGGTATCCAGTTTTAAAAAGGAGTCTACCAACTCTGATGGAATCACAATAGAGATCTTAAAAATAAACCTGGGCCAGCCTTATATAGTGTTTTTTCACATGAAAGCATCTTGCCCTTTGGTTTTGGTTCATCCCGGTTCGGCCTTGTATCTTGAGTAGATACAGTAGAATGAAAGACTCAGGCCATACAGGCATTCTCTATGAACTCATTTGGGGATGGCAGCACTTTTAATTGTCAAAAGAACTTAGAAACCTTATCTAAGGGGAGATATATTTTGGTATAAATCTCTCAATTATAGGAAATAAAAATAGTTATATGCATGTATGTAAATAAATATATATGAAAACTGTTTTCTTAACAGCACTTTCATTTTAATGTGTAAGCTGGAAATCCATAAATCTAGAGCAGTCTACAAAAAAGGGGAAGTCAAAATATCAGGAATGTGACTGCATGGTATGCAAGCTTGAAATCCTGCTTATTATTTTCTATCATTTTGATTTTCACCCATGCTTGCCTTCAGGTGAGGTGGGGGTGGGATTGTCTTAAAAATGCATTGCACTGCAAGGAAAACACATTAATTATATATGTTAGGAATATCAAAGTCAAAATAAATGTTCAAAAAAGACAATAGGCTTTGCAATGCTGATGTCACAACTCAAAAAAGTACAGTAAACACTTAATGACAAAGCCATGCACACCCCTCCAACCCTTTCCACCCACCTTCTTAATGAATATATAGAAGTTTCCCATAAAACATGACGCATAATGATTACTTAGCTCCCAGCATGCTTTGGAAGATGCAGCATTGCAAAAACAAAAACAAACGAACAAACAAACAAACAAAAAGTCCCAAAATTAAAACCCCAGTTACAGGGGGATTTTAAAAAAAGAAGCTCAAACAATTACTAGTTTTTGCACATTAAATAAAATTGAAAGTATTTTTGTTCAAATAGGAAAACACAGCTTCAGATAACACCACAAGGCCACCACCTCTGGGAAAGTCACCCATACACAGATACAGTGTACATAACACAGCAGCACATGCACTCTCAAATGGTTCTACCAGACGATACAGAGTAAGTGATGGCAGGTCACTTTTGGAATATTCTTGTGCAAAATTCTGAAAGGCCACGATCCAAATCACAGACTGAGTACAGAGAGCCGTGCGTCTCCACCTGTGGCATATTTCACATTGCTGATTCTCCTGTTTGAGTCACAACCTCTTAAGAGATTGGATTTGAGCCCATGTCTTTCTTGTTTACCTTTAAGTAAAGGGACAAATCTGATTTTTCTGGATACTGAAAATTAGCATTTCATTGTTAAATAGGAGCATTATTAACTTTTTATTTTATTACAGCAGCAATCTGAGGTGGGGGTTGTTCAGCTTAGTCCATACCAGTCCTGCTGTGGGATATGTATTCAATCCTCTAGGTCCAGAATGACACTTTGCTTCAAGTGCCTCATATCTCAGGACTTGGGTTACTCCAATTAAAGGCTCAAAAGACAGCTGTAGGGCAGGCGAGAGGTTTCACTAAGGTGCATTTCAAGTCATCAGGGGGAAATGCAAGTGGAAAGAGAGAAGAGGGAGAGGGGGCGAAGAGGGGAACAGAGAGAGGGGGATGAATATGAGTGAATGAAAAGCGCAATGGTGAAAGTTTAAATCTGTGATTGTCATGTGAACAATCCACACAGGAGAGAATTGCTTTACCATTCCCCATCATTTGCACAAAGAAAACAAAGAAAGGGCAGATGATACAGTACCTCCATGGTCTGAGACTGATGCATGGCTTTGATTGCATTCTGTGCCATTGCCCTTGTAGAAAATGTGACAAACGCACAGCCTGTGGGAAACAAGGGGACAGGGAGCAGGAAAGACAAAAAACAACAAGACAAAAGGGTTGGACGCTTGTTAAACCAACACAGTCTACGAGAACTGCCACAAGACGACACTGTTCTCAGTAGTACATAAAAATAAACAGCTTCTCTCTTCGACTTTGTCTTATTTGCTTTTTATCCACAGTGCTGAATTGCTAATCCGACCAAAGCAGAACAATGTGTTCACCAGCATTCTTTTAAAGGGAACTAGGGAGCATGGTGTGTACTCATTTCCCCACAACATTTGAAAGCAGCGAGAGATAACTTGCATTTTCTAAGTTAAAGGTGGGCTACTTTCTATCTTCTCCTTGTCTGAGAGCATGCACACACCAGGCTGTTGTATTTTAAAATCTATCACTGAATTTTAAGAAGGAAATAAAGAATTCATCACACCAAGGGTAAATAAGCAAATAAATTTCAAGATCTCAGAATGTTAACAATTAAATATATCTAATTCATCTCGGATAGTTAGAAACATATAAATAGAAATTGATGCTATTCAAATGTAAACAAATATACTAAATCCATTACAAAGTAGTAACTACTAATTAGCAACAAAAACAATTACTTTGAGAAAATTCAACAGTGCATATGAAATAAATTATAAAAACTGTAATTTGCACAAAAATTTTCATGATTTTGGAAGCTGTAACTTTCTGAAAGGAATCAGAGATTTGACCTGAAGCTTAACACATACAAGACAATGTACATTTCTCTGAACATCTACTGAGACCTGTAAAGCTTTCCGTGTTTATTTTATCTAGTGCTGTAAAACTGCTAGTGTCTACGGTGCTGGTTCCTGCTTCTGACAGCAGCACTGGCCACCACGCAGGTCCCCACTTGAACTACATGGCTCATCACCCTTTGTGCTAATAAAAACACTGCCTTGTAGAATTTACTTTTTATCCATCATATACCCTTGGGCTTCTTAGAGAAAAGGCTGTAAAATTAATGCAGATTTAGGCTGATTTTATAATAATACCACAGCACACTAAAAGCTTAGTGAAAGCAATACAGACTTATTTCATTTATGATCTCTAATGACTTTAAAAGTGCATTGATTTTCAGCTTCTTTTGCCTTGCACAGTTTGAACTTAGGTATCAGCGAATAATTTAGTGTTCCACTCAATTTCCTCAAAACATTATTATTACTACTTAAAAGATTTCCAAATGAAGCAGATCTAAATACTGAGACGCTGAAACCTATTGTCATTTCAGAGCACAATGCATAAAAGCAGAATTCTGGCATCAACAGTAGAAGATTGTTGCCCCTGTGACCAATAAACAAAATAGAACATTCTAGATTCAAACAGCCAGCGGATTGTTTGGTTTATGTAAATCAATTTGTGAGTCATAAAATACATTTTCTTCTTTTGTCCTGCATTATGTACCTGGTAAGAATATCAAGTCAATACTGCTGTGGTGCCTTCTAATCAAACAGCATTAAGAGAAAGCAGTGCCTGTCCATCATCCCCAATGCACAATGACATCCAGTCATGAAAGTAAGTAAATGCGTATGTTTTGCAACATGTTATCTTTAACATACAAAAGTTTCCAGTACACAGGAAGGTCATCCCATACTCGTCCCACCAGCTGAGCAGGTCTTAAGAAGCAGGCAAGAAGTCCAGCTGTTAGGAGTACTGAGGTGCTGCATGTAATTTTCTGAGAGAGCATCAACTGATGCAGTCTACTATTCATGCTGTATGTGCCCAGACATGACTGGAGCTTTGGCCACCAATGAAAGCAACGGCCTTCTCTAGGAAATGTAGATCATGTGTGTAAAACAGCATGTGAGACAGACAACAGTGCCTCCCTCCGCTGGTTTCCATACTGAAGCGGAGATCTAAACTTATACTCTCAAATTTAGCATTTGTTTCAAAGCAGTATTTCCTTAAAATGATACGATCCTCACTGAAATTACAGAGGAAATAAGACTAAGAGATTTTAATTTTTCCACTTCTTGCCTTGAGACTATAATATGGAGGCCACATGAAATCATCTAGCAGAGGTATGTTTGAAAGCATGTGAATTCTGCTTTAATAGTCACAAAAATTGTTATTTTCACTTCATTTGCTTTTATTAGCTAGGAATGTGTGCCAGACTGGAAGTTTCCAAATGGGGGTTAAAGTGCATAAGAAACATGCAAAATGTCAATAAGAATCAATAAGGTACAGTTTATGCATTTATCACAATTTCACACAAGTAACTTGTAAGTAACTTTGGGAGAAAGATAAAGCAATTAGCAGGAACAATAAAAACTCTATCAACTCAAACCATTGCCCTCTCCTTTAAGAAGCCTTCAGTTAAAAATTCAAGCAATGCTTCTAATTGTACAATCCTAACTCATTCAAAAAAAAAATGATCTGACAAATGATCTGACTTTTTTAATCTTTTTATCTTACTGGCAGTGATGCAGGAAGAGAGAAGCTGTCTCCTTAGGGTTTTTGCCAAGTTCTGTACTGTGTGTTGTGCTCAGTTGCTTAGGAGGAAAAATTACTGTGTCATTTATAAAGTGGGAATACACAGTGAAAAATTTTACACTCAGTGTATCTCAGGATGAAGTTAAGCAACTTAGGAGTTAACTCCTTTTGGGATAGTAAAGTTTGTTTACCTTTGTAATTTCTCTAAATCAGGAGAGGCTGTGGCAGTTGTATGGACAGATGCTAATTTTCTTTTTTCTTTTTTTTCTTTTTTTCGAGACTGGATTTCTCTGTGTAGCTTTGGAGCCTATCCTGGAACTAGCATTGTAGACCAGGCTAACCTTGAATTCACAAAGATCTGCCTGGCTCTGCCTCCAGAATGCTAGGATTAAAGGCGTGTGCCATTACCTCTTAGCAATTTTAATTTTCTTTTCAACACAAGTATAAACACAGTAGTGGCTGTAGTTTTTGGTCTCCGATGTGTGGCTTTTCACCAACACAGGATCATAAGAGTTCTACTATTTAAAATTGGCCACTGCTTTTTCTACAACTGAATCAGAAGGCTTTCTATTAGGCACAAGTATCTTACGTCCTAACTGGTCCTTTCTGTATGCAGTGGCACTCACTGAGTCTTGACAGGACTGCACCTCTGATTTTGTAGTGTTAGCCCTTAACTACTGAGGACTGTTAAATGTACCATCTAGGCAATTACTATTCTGGTATCCTCAATACTGGAGGAAGAAAGATACAAGTATTAAAACAATGACACCATATTTCTTTTATTTTTGGTTTTGATAGAGTAATATATATATATATATATATATAAATAATGTCTTAAGACTGTCAAATAAATATAAGGGAAAAATCCTTTTGTGGCTAACCTGCAGTTTAGCTTGAAATTAACTGTCTCCACTTTCCAAATGTTGGAGATTACTAATAGGAATGAGGGATGGAACTCCTCCTATTACACAAGTACAAAGGCTGTCATGGAGGATGGCTTCTTGAAACACATCCATCACACTTGCCATTACAGATGAAAGGGCTTCATCCCCATTTCTTTTCTTTTCTTTTTCTTTTCATTTTGAGATGTTTTTCTGTGTAGCCCTGGTTGTCTTGGTACTTGCTCTGTAGAGTGGGCTGGCCCTGAACTCAGATCCAGCTGCCTTGCTTCCTGAGAACTAGGATTAAAGGAGTGAACTACCATCACCCAGTGAAAGGGCAATCTTAACTCAGTGGTTCTAACTCTTCTCTCAGTTACCAAGAGAATTTTATAGAACTAGATGAATTCTTGCTTTACACTAAAAAACAAAAACCCCCAAAGTTAGAACTTCCTTTAAAAACACAAATGATCCCAGGGTCTCTTAGTTTTTTGTGAAGCTTTTTTTCAAAGAGGCACAGTGGCCTTCTGTATCTTCAATAGAAGAAACATGATTTTAAGTTACTGTGTAGCAAGGAGGAGACTTCAAACTTTGGAAAACTCACTAATATACAAATCATCACCTAACGAAGACAATGCAGCCAATTTTTCTTGCTGTATCTTTTTAGTACAGGCAGGAATGATCAAACACATAGTACAGGATAATACTTGGGCACATGCATTAGTAATCTAATGTATCACAGGCAATGTTGGGTTAGTTTACTGAAAAATGGCATTGACACATCAATCATTTATTTATGGCATCTGAATTTGGGTACAGACTACAACCCACTTAGGAACTGGCAAATGTCATTGCTTAGATGAGGCTGGAAGACTATTTTGAACAAGATGGCAAAACACAGTCAGTGTTTTGAGGGATATGGGATGAAAATTTACATGTAGATGAATGTTTAGGTACTGTGTGGACAGGACTACACTGTGAACAAAACAGTCTTCTCCACAAACCTGTCTGAACAGTCAAAAACTCTATCCTAATATACTGCTTGAATACAACAAGGAACAAACAAGGATTTAACTGCTAAACCCAGGCTGTGCTCTTCCCTGAAAACATTCGTCAAGGGCTTAGGCTGGGAATGTTAGAACACAGCTGGAATACTCTTAAACATGCAGAAAGCAAGTTACCTTAAATGGTAGTGAAGATTTGACTACAGTTTGTGGGAAAGAAAAATGAAATAGACTTTTTCCTGACTCCAAGTTATAGATACTCAACTGCCACTGTACAGAAAACCCCATAGGTTAGATCTCAATAGCCTTTTTGACTGTGGATCAGTGAGAACATGTTTAGTTTAGGTGACACCGTCAAATATGTACATTTGATTTAGAAACCCCAAGCTTTGCTTCTAAGAGCGAATGTCTCACTGGAAAGGCCATGGATGGGTTGTGGTGCCTACTAGCTTTCTCATGGAGAGCTCTGCAGGTGCCTGAGAACTGCAGCTGTCCTTGCAGAATGATGTAATTATTGATTTGAAGCTGCTTGAAAAAGATGAGCAGCACACTTTCCAAAACAAGAGAGTCAACAGACCGTCCCTGGTGGAGGAAAGGCCTGCCTAGATCTGGGCATAATGTCCTTCGTGTGGATGAAGAGTTATGTATGACTGGCAAGTTCCGGGTACTTTCCATGTAGATACTTACAACCATTTCCTGAGGGTGTCCGTCCTGGGACATGTACTAGCTATCGTGAGTTTTCCCCCAATGACTCTAACTGAAATAGAAACAGGGTGTGACAGGTACAGCTGTGAGTCCTGGCAGCCTTGAGGCTCTATGCTGATGAGTAGTGTCCTGAGTCAACATGTCTGAGGAGGCTTGGCAGAGTGCCCACTAGGGAGGAACTGAAATGGCTGATGTGGCAGAGGCGGAATGGAGGGGGAAGCCTATTTGACTAATTGTCTTCATATTTATAGCTGAACTGGTGAATGCAGAAGAAAGGCCAGTGGCTAACTACTCAGCTGTACCTCGCCACACCATCACTGCGGAGCAGTTCATATTCTGACCTTGAATACAGGTACTCTTCGGGGTAGCCATGCTTTCCTTTCACTTTATTTTCGCTGATTACTTTTTCAGCAGTTGAGCTAGCAACAGATACTGAGGGAAAAATGCCAAGTATCTTTCATCTGAAGTGCCACTAATGGACATTTATTAATATTTGTTTGAAAATTGAAATTCTTTAATGAGAACAAAATAGTAGCATGGAGTAGAATTGTTCTTTTTATCAAATACAGTGATTCAGGAGCAGGTCCCTGTAGCCAGGAGTCCCTAGCTCCTATTAGTTGAAAAATATATCACTGTCTTTGAATTTCAGAATAAATGATTATAAATGGGTATTTTCTTTTTTTCCAATAGGGAATTCACCAGGAACCATTTTGCTGTTCAAAGAAAGTGGTGGGAGAGTATTTTCTTCTTTACACTGAGTCCAGTCATTTGCATAAAATACAAATGAGAAGGCACCCATAACTTACTAAAGGAAGAGGCTACTTTTAGGGTTAAGTGTTTGTTAATCAGCCAAACAGCAGATCAAATTAGCTAAATTTTTATTGAGTGTTTTGTTCTTTCCCATGAAAGTCGTGCTGCTCCAAAATCTCACAGGCAGCAAATACTAATGTCTACCTCTAGCTACCCAGAGTGTCTTTATCACCATCTCCTGTAGAGCAGAGGACCACGTCATAGCTGGCTAGGATGAGCAGAGGGACGGCAGAAAGCCAGCACTCAGGTCCACACTCATGGTCTCTATGCACCCATACAGACAGTATGTGTGGGAAAAGTCAGTAACTGGCAACTAAAGTCGTCCTGTGAGAGAAGCAAGACAGATCTATGTTCACTGCTGTCATCTATGAATGGGGAAACTAGGAAACAGAAATAGGAAAATAAATTGACTCAGGCCACATGCCATCAAAAACTCTAGGACAGAAAATTAGAGTCACTGAACCCTGAGCTACTGTAAACTGCGCTCTAATTAATTTAAAGACATCCTTTCCTTCTCCCCTTTCCTTCCCTCCCTCCCTACTTCCTCTCTCCTCTTCCCTCTCTTTCTCAATGTCTTCTTCACGCTGTCTGTATTGCTTGTCTCAGGAACTGTCTGTTATTTAAGGGTTAGAAATTCAGCATTGGAGTGAGGGTTAAATAACTGGTATTTCAGAATTGACAGAGAATGAATGAACTGTGATTTGCACAGTGCTCTCCTTCCCCCACCCCTTTAAACCACCTTCAGAGGAAAATATAGGAATCAAATTTGGGTGTCAGTCTCCTAGTTTACTGATGACCTCATTTGGAACTTGAAGTATGGATGTGGGTCAAACTTTAGTTCTCTGGGATTTTAGTACTAGAAGCCAACAACATGAAGCTTTATGTCTAAGATTAATAAAAAAACCACTTTCCTCGCATGGCTTTAAAATCAGGCAAGAATGGCGAGACGGGTGAAAATTATCAAGTATGAAAATTATCACCTTGACACTTACGGCCTGGCTACTTATTGTAATGTGTGGTCTGGGTACCAGAGCTGGCCCAGAATCAGAGCTTGAGAATGAGCAAAGTTTATGATTATCTCCATGGAAACTGAACTGCTAAATGAAGATGTCGTCTTCAAACTGAAAAGCGTTTGGCATATCCACTTCTACTTTGGACTGACTTGGGAAACTGCCGTCAGACAAATGTTAATACGCACTGTCAATCTTCGGATAGTTTAAGGAAGGAGGTGTGTGGTCTTGTCAAGGGGGAGGGGAAAGAGAAGCATGGTCCCCGCTTACCAAACTGTAGTATTCCTCAGGGTTGTGAGCTACAGCTTTTGCTTCTATTGTTGTGGCAAAAGAAGAGCCTACAATCTTCTTAAGGTCAGAGTCATTTTTCTATCATTTAGAAGACTGGACTGAGGACTAGAGGCTCGGTAGGATGCAGGGCGGGACAGGTCTGGTTACGCTGGTCACACACCTGCTCTGCACTGCATGAGCAGCGATCTCTTTCTAGGCTTGTATGGCTGTTAGGAGGACCACATCTTTAATGTTTGTTTAGGTAAAAAGAAAGAAAAGTATGGCTGAGTATCTCGTCTCATCTTCCAGCTTTCCTTCTCGCCCCCCTCCCCCCAATTTGCTCAATTTGAGGATGAAAAGGGGGTACAGAGCTAGGGCAGCCTGTCAGCATTCCATGGGGCCTGGCACTCAGACCTTTTCACCTGGAGAAGTATGAGATGATCATTTTGGTTACAGAGAAAAGTTCAGGTTGGATAACTTGCTCACATGGGACATACTGCACGCTGACTTCCTGCTGTATGTGACGCCTGCATCTCCCTTGACTGTGACACAGAGTTCCAATTATCACTTAAGGAAAGAGACTTTACAGAGAGCACACTCACCTCGACTCAGCCCGTCGGGTCCCCGGAGAATTCGGCATTCTTCTATTTGGCCAAATGGAGAAAACATCACTCTGATATCATTCTCATTACATTTCTTTGAAACCATTCCTATGAACAATTTTCGATCTTCCACAGCTAGGAGATAAAAATAACAAACGAACAAAGGCCATGTCATCTTTTTTTCTTATAATCAATGCTTCATTAACAACCAGGCTTGGCCATGTGAGAACGAATGCAGTCCTGGAGCTAACTGTAGACCTGTATCTCCCTCTTCCTCTAGCTCACCCTATGCGGTCTGTCTTCCACTCTGACCCAAGAACAATTTGTTTAGCTTCTAACTAGCCAGGCTAATTACACTTGACACAGAAGTCAATTCTAGAGGAGAAAGTCGTTCTGTTTCTTGAGAATCATCTCTGACAGTTCCTGTCTGTGCAAAACTAGAAACAGAAGAGCAAGGAGGAAGCTATACTAGTTCAATAACTTGGAGCCAGGTTTTTCAAGGAATGGAGATACATTTTGGGTATCATGATAACGTGCACACCTTAGATTATGAGAGAGGGAAAGATTAGGCAGGTTTTTTTTTCTTCAGATCTGGGAGGGTCCCCCAAATCTCCATTTTTTTTTGCTCAAAATATTTGAATTATATTTAGTCTATAAAGCAAAATGACAGCTGATTTCAGGACAATGCTTGTTACCTTTCTAGGAGTCAGGACCTTTTCAAAGATGTCTGAAGTGCTCCTAGAGATAAGGCCTGCTTATCTTCTATTGCTTTGATTTAATCTATTTCTCAGAATTAAAAGTGTGGATGGGGAGGAGAGAGAGCCATACACCTCCAAGATCTGGCGATGCTCTGCCACAAGTCACTGCATGACCTTTGTTACCGATCCGGACTGCCATCTTGCCACTGCTGTGTGGGCGGTATTTACTTCTGTTTTTCTTAGTCCTTTATAGGGCAGAGTTTCATTTCCATGTACACAGTAAGTAGTTATTCTGGATTTTCTGAGTCCTGGTGCCACTGGAGCTCAAGTGAAGGTACGCATCTGATCCTGCCAGGACTGGGTCATGTTTTTCTGGAGCACTGCTACAATTCAGTGACTTACCCTGAAGCAACACAGTCGCACAGTTCTTTATAATGCCTCAGAGCCCTATGTCCGTGCTGTCACAGCCAAAGACAGAGTTCACTCAACACTTAAAAGGGTCTCATATGACTGAGAAATATATTTTTTTAACACCAACTAATACTTTAAAATTCCAAAGCCCTATGTGTCTATTTATATTGGTCAGTGCAGCTTTGAAGAACCTAAATGAAGCAGCTAAATGTTATTTGTCAGAGAATTCCACATAATAAGTAAAGGACTTATTCTATTTGTAAAGTAGATTTTTGAGTCCATAAAGGGAAAAGGGACTTTCCTAGGGTCATTCAAGAAATATGTGGCCTAATGTGGACTACAGTCCTTTCCTACTCCCAGTCCAGTATTCTTATTCCCTTCCTGATGTTTCCAGCTAGAAGAAGTAGATGGGACCTAAAGGGACAAGCAATGGTCGTGACTTAGACTCTGGTCTCTGTTCTAGTGTTGCCATTAATTGAAATGTGACCCTGATAATCACCTCACTTTTGTCAGCTTCTCTTTCTTTTCCCTTTCCTTCTCTCTCTCTCTCTCTCTCTCTCTCTCTCTCTCTCTCTCTCTCTCTCTCTCTCTCTCTCCCTCCCTCCCTCCCTCCCTCCCTCCCTCCCTCCCTATCTATCACTGCAGAGAAGGCAACCCAGCTGCATGCTTTGGTTAACTGAAGCACTGGGATGGAGGGTGCTATAGCTGTGTGCAGGCTCCCTTTTCTCCTTTCTCCCTCTACACTCGGTACTTTCCAAGACAACTCAGGGAAAGTCTAGGGCTCTTTTAATGTCCTCCTGAGAGGAAACTTAAGAAAAATGGGGGTGGGAAAACAAGATTCTTAACACATAAAGGACAAAGTCAGGAGCAACTGGTGTATCTGTAGAAGGCAAAACAAACAAACAAACAAAACCCCTTTATGATGATTGAGAGAATGGGCTCAGTGGATAAGGACAGTAAGAGAATTTTGGATAAAAAATTTTAAGTACTGTTCTTTATTGTACTGCTGGAACAAGTAAAACACCAGCTATCTACTATGAATTAGCACAAACCTAGTGGTCCAGGGCACCAAACTTCAGCAATCCAGAGATCCTGTGACAAGGAGCCTTTATAGTCTCCCACCAGTCTGATTATAGGTTCTCTGTGGGCTGGCCCATGAACACGAAGGGGTTTGAACAGCAGGCCCTGTGAGGATGAGGCACCCCCTCGATGGAGACATGGAAACGGATGCAGAAGAAAGGGAAAGACTACTATCTGGTTCTCACTATTTCCTGCTCAGGACTCCTATACCTACCAAACTATGGCTGGCAGCTATATGAGAACAGAAATTCCTGCATACTTCTTACCTTGAAGAATCTTGCTTTAGTAATTTAAAATAAAAGCAAATGTTAAAACTTTCATTTGGTTTTTAGTTTCACTGGTAAATTGGAAATTGTAAAGTTTAGTTAAAATAATTTGTACATTTTTTGTTCCAGGATGGTACTATAGTAAATTTTACATGCAGATCCTCCTGAGTAAGCTAAATTATGGCCCCATCCACATAAGATGAGT